TGTGACTTAACAAATTGACATTCTTGTTTATGGAGTCAGTAATCACCCTAGGCTCTTGTCATGAGTTGTCAAGGCTATGGAGGCCTTTTGAGTTCGCCGACTCTGATCATATTTAGACAAGGTCATAATCAAAGTGGAAGTTCTCTCCTACAAACTAGGTAACCTTGGCAACTCGGTGGGAGACTGCAGAGAAATTTGAGATCACATTGAGGACTGCATAGACCCTTTGTGTGGTCCTTGGGGCAGAGTAGACGAATATTATACCCACAGGGGCCAGATTTCATATATTTACTGCCCTCAATTCTGCTCAGCTGTGTGGAATTACTTCCCTTCTGAGTTAAAGAGAGAGAGAGAGAGAGAGAGAGAGAGAGAGAGATTTACCACTCCCAACCTGGGTGAGTCACCTTTGGCACACCCTTAACCCTGAAGAACAAACAGAGCTCTCTGGCCACACCCAGCACAAGCTTCTAAGGATCCATCAAAAGCAGACAGTCCACTTAATCTAGAGTCATAGTATAATGAGAAAAACCACTGTATCCTGCAATTTTACCAAACTCTTATGAGTTCCAATATTCTTAGATGAGTCTTTTGGTTCCCCTGCATATAGAATCATGTCTTATATAACCAATGATACTTTGACTTCTTCATTTCCAATTTATGTCTCTTTGATTTTTTTTTCTTGCCAAATGGCTCTGGCTAAAACTTTGAAAACTATATTGAATACTAATGGTGAAAGTGGACACCCTTGTCTGCTTCCAGATCTTAGTGGAAATGCTTCCAACATTTCACACTTGAATAAATACATTTTAAAAACACCACTTCTTTTTATTTAGTATAATTCACATGTCTTTGTCGAGATACCAAAATCTGATTATCATCTCTCTTTGGAGCATAAACCTTGGGTGGAGCTGGCGCCGCGGCTCACTAGGCTAATCCTCCACCTAGCAGCGCCGGCACACCGGGTTCTAGTCCCGGTTGGGGCGCCGGTTCTGTCCCGGTTGCTCCTCTTCCAGTCCAGCTCTCTGCT